TAATGACCCTTTTGACGTGAAGCTGCGTGTCATCTATGTCCTGCTTCCAAGAGACATAGATAGCTCGTGATGAGCTTGGCTTTCCGCAGCATTGGAAGTGTTTGACTCCGGCGTAAGAAGCTCTTATTTGATTCCCAAATTATCATGTCTGGTAAGGACGTGCATGTCCTCTTGTACTTTGGAAGATCTACAAGACCTAACCTTGCGGACTGATTAAGAATTCGTACGAACAAACATTTCAAGCTGTCGAACCTTATCTAGGTCACGGAGGGTCGCCGCCAATGACTCGTGGGGTTGATATAGGCGTCTTGGCGGTGATCCGCTCTGGTTGAAATACCGTGGTACGTGAGGCTACTTAGATTGCGAAAAGCAGCGTAGGGGTTTTTTTGGCACCGGTGACGCCGGCCTCCGCTTACCGGCTCGGGGAACGGAGACCTGAGCTGTCGGGTCTGAACAGTGAGCACCGGCTGCTGGTAGGCCCGGGGGATTGGTTGGCCAAGACGGGAGTCCGGTGTCGTCGGTCAAGAGTTCACCTCAGTTTATCTGCAGGTTGGGCACGTGCATCGGATACAACCAGTGAAGTTAACGATGCAATGGGATGCGTAAGGTAGGAGGGAGGAGCTTAGGAAGGCGTGGGTGGTGATGCCGATGTCAACCTTCCTTATCAGCCCTGGACGGCCACTGCCTGGGACGGTGGGACCGGAGCTTGGGATGGTCTAATTGACGAATGAGGGGACGTCCTGTCGGCACGCCGTTCTGCTCCACAGAAGGTGCGGGGCCGCCAAGGACCTCTAGTGGAGCCGTACCGCCGTTGACCCCTCACTCTTGCGGGACAGCTGGGAAACAACTTGCTCGGGGAGCTCCTCTGCATCCCTGAAGCTGTCCTGCCTTGCCCGGCTTGACTGGTTCACGGAACACCACTATTTCCTCTTGCCTCTTGAGCTCTGCCTGTTCGTCTGGTATTACCACATAGTTCATACTATTCTACATTTCCTTTTCCAGGGTTGTGATCCTTCTATTGACACGTGCTGATAAACAGCGCATTCTACGGTCGGCCGTCCAATTCCCCATTCATCTTATCCTATGCTGAGGGTGTTGCCGACCTTGTCCCTGTCCCTCTGGTACCAGGGATGGAATCGTACGGATACGCTGCTAAATCTTTCACAGGGAAGACATCAGACGGCGATACCGAATGCAAGCATGTTGCCCGATATCTTCCCAGGGCCTATCCAATCTGCAGCCTTCCACGAACTGCTCAGCATCATGTTGCTAGACTAGCAATGCACTGGTTATCTAAAACTACGTATTCCGCATTGCGAACCCTGCCAGAGCTAGGTATCGGCCATTGCAGCTGCTGGTCGTCTTGGCAAAACAACCACCACGCCCTCCAGACTCCAGAAGAGAGACCTACATAAGATCGGGGACACCTCGACTCGCGTCTACTCACATACCTAGTCTCGTCCCTCTCCCCGTCACCTCTATCCTCAGCTCCAGCCCCAGCTCCAGCTTTCGTAGTCCTCCCTCGGTCCTCTTCCCGGCGAGTCCTCAGTTGATTGGAGTGTCCCTTCGTCGTGCGAGACATCGACCAGCCATCATCGACCGCCAGTCAAGATGCACTTCAACTCGATCGTCGTCTCTAGCCTCATGGCTGCCGCTTCCCGGCAAGTCAATGCTGTCCCTTGTCCTAAGCCAGCACCTGTCTACAAGCCCATCACCAGCATTCAATTGGGCCCGAGACCCTACTGGTTGGTCAACGACATGGACGAGGGTCCTTTGAAGGACAAGCTGCAGTCGTGCTCGGAACAGCCCATCAAGCCCTCCAACTGGAGCATCGGGCACCGCGGCGGTGGCACTATGATGATCCCCGAAGAGTCAGTCGAGTCAAACCTCGCCGGTGCGCGTATGGGTGCTGGTGTTCTCGAGTGCGATGTTGCTTTCACCAAGGACCGCGAACTAGTCTGCCGGCACTCGCAATGCGATCTTCACACGACGACCAATATCGTTACCATCCCCGAGCTCAACGCCAAGTGCACCACACCCTTTACTCCCGCTGGCAACGGTACAGCCGCGACCGCCAAGTGTTGCACATCGGACATCACCGTCGCTGAGTTCAAGACTCTCTGCAGCAAGATGGATGGCTTCAATGCCTCGGCCGTCAACCCGGAGGACTTCTTGCTCGGTACCCCGAGATACCGAACCGACCTCTACTCCACATGCGGAACCGTTATGACCCACAAGGAACACATTGCCATGACCAACGACTTGGGTCTGCAGTTCAGTCCTGAGCTCAAGGTTCCCGAGGTTGAGATGCCTTTCGAGGGAGACTACACGCAAGAACAGTACGCGCAACAGCTGATTGACGAGTACAAGGAAGCTGGAATTGCTCCTGAGCGGGTCTGGCCCCAGTCGTTCTACTATCCTGATATTCTCTACTGGCTCAAGGCCGAGCCCGAGTTCGGCAAGCAGGGCGTTCTCTTGGACGAGAGCGGAGACACCCCCGAGACCTTCCCGGGAGCTGTTGCCAACCTGACCGAGTTTGCTGCTGCTGGTGTCAAGATCATGGCCCCTCCTTTGTACTATCTCGTGACCGTCGAAGATGGCAGGATTGTGCCCAGTTCGTATGCGACCAGGGCCAAGGAATTGGGTCTCGACATTATCTCATGGTCCCTGGAGCGTTCTGGCTTCCTCGGAGACGAGACCAAGGGCGGCTACTACTACACTTCCATCGCCAACGTCACAAACAACGACGGCGATGTTTACAACCTGCTCCACGTTCTTGCCCAAGACGTTGGTGTGTTGAGCATCTTTTCGGACTGGAGTGCCACTGTCACCTATTACGCCAATTGTTTTGGTCTATTCTAGGTGCTTGTGAGAAGCACGATGAGATGATTCCATAGGGCAAGCGAATATAATCCAAAACCATACCGAATTATGACGGTAATGATCAGCGTTGAGATAGGACATGCAGTAGAAACAAAGTAATGATGTGAACGCCGACATCCATTTAACATGGAGAGAAACCGGTCACGACTTGCACATGAATAATGATGCTTCTCCTTCTACAAAGAAGCACAGGGGATATTGCAATATCCGGATTGCGTGGTCCATCAGTGAACGATAGGAGCCGTCCACTGCTTCCCGTAGTGTACCTTGTAGAGAAGGTAGTTGACCAATCGACTTACAAGAGTTTCCAATTCTAAGTGGGTATCATCCAACAGATTTACACCGAATTCACCGACACGGTGAGTCCAGGGCCTGACCTTGAATTTTGGTACCCCGCCATTAGCGCAACCCCGCCATCGACCGATTCCTCTTCCTCAAGCCGTCAATCAGAAAATAAAGAGTTTTTTTTTTTTTTTTCTCTCTTCACAACAGCAGCCGGCCATGGCAGAACTCTCAGCGGCGCCCGTCCTTTCGACGCCCGCCGAACACACCTTTGAAGACCCGACACCAACGCCTCCGCCTCCGCCGACCGCCGACCGCACCCAAGATGAACTCTCTTCAGTCTACGAGATCGAGCGCACGGCGCGCGAGATCAAGGAGGGCGGCTGGAACCGCGTCGCCCTCCAGTTCCCCGACGCCATGCTGCGCGACGCCTCGTGGGTCGCAGAGGCGCTGACGGAAGCCCTGGGCGGCAGCGAATCCCATCGGGTGTATATCCTCGCCGACACGTCCTACAGCGCCTGCTGCGTCGACGAGATCGCGGCTGAACATGCCGACGCCCAGATTGTCGTACACTATGGCCGCTCATGTCTGTCACCGACTTCGAGACTGCCCGTTATCTACGTCTTTACGCGGCACACCCTCGATCTTGACCAGGCAGTCGAGGCTTTCTGCAAAGAATTTCCGGACAAGCAGCACAAGGTGGTTGTGGTGGCCGACGTCACATATCAGGACCATGTCGTTCCCTTCACCACGAAACTGTGCTCCGCTGGGTACACAGAGTTGCTGTATACCGAAGTGGCACACGACCCGACCGGTACGATCCCGAACCGCAAAATTATCGACTCTTCCTCCTCGAGCGCCCCGCAGACTACCGACCTGTCCGAGCGCTCCCTCTTCCACATCTCGGCACCGCCCTCAGCGCTCCTCCTCGCCCTCCAGACCCGCATGGCCTCCCTCCATGTTCTCTCGATGCCAAGCCTGTCAACCAACGATCCGACACGGACGACAAATGCCCTTCTCCGCCGGCGCTTCGCCCGCGTCTTGACACTGGCCACGGCCGGTGTGGTGGGCATCCTCGTCAACACGCTCTCTGTGTCCAACTACCTCGGAAGCATCGACCTCCTGCGCCGGCGTATCGCCGAAGCCGGGAAAAAGAGCTACACGGTCGTGGTGGGCAAGCTGAACGCCGCGAAGCTAGCTAACTTTGCCGAAGTCGACGGCTGGGTTGTCGTGGGGTGCTGGGAGAGCGGCCTGGTGGAGGAGGACGCCGGATTCTTCAAGCCCGTCATCACGCCCTTTGAGATGGAGGTGGCGCTGAAGCCGGAGAGCGAGCGCGTGTGGGGCCTCGAGTGGTGGGGAGGCATCGAAAAGATGGACCACGACACGGTCAGACAGGAGGAGGAGGAGGAGCTGGACGAGGACGAGTCGGCGCCGCCAGAATACGACTTGCGCACCGGCAAGCTCGTGGCTAGTCGGCCGATGAGGATGCCGATACGTTCAGCCGACGGCGAACCCAAGACCGGCGATGACAACGGGGAGGAAAGCAGCAGCAGCAGCAGCAGCAAGAAGCCTGGGCAGTCGGCGTTGGTGAAGCGTGAGGTGGGCGAGGTGGCCACCATCAACGGTGTGCTTAGCCCGGGTGCCGAGTACTTGCGTTCACAAAGAACGTGGCAGGGTCTCGGAACGGACTACGATGAGGAGAGCAGTACTGTCGTCGAGGCAGGCCGAAGCGGTGTGGCGCGAGGTTATACGGTTGGCGAGGACGCTGGCCGGGCATGAAGAAAAGTGACAATTGACGAGGGTTTTTTTTCCCCATTCTTTTTGATACGGCGCAAGGTACGGTACTAAAAAGATTAGACTAGTGAGGACGTAAAGATACCAAAATTTTCCATCAAGGTTTGCCTCTCAATGCTACTGTGTTTTCACTCAAAGGAGAGGGTACCCAACGGTCAGTCGGTCCAGTCAGCCTGCCGTTCTTGGTGCTACGAGGAAGGGGAATTGGGAAGGCAATCATAAGGTCGGAAACAGACGGACGATGGCCTGCGCCAAGGCTGAACACGGCAGAAAGAATGTTTTGAATCAATGTCGTTAGATTCGTCATCATTAAGGAGTATGCCGTCCACTACATGCGCCGGGTCGCTGAAATTACATGAACCATCCCTAAGCATCGTTCATGTGCTCTCCACATCCTATCGTATCATATCATGGTATCTCGTCTCATCTTCTTGTTGTTTCTCGTTCTTGTACATGTCATCAAAAATTCTCTCCAAAGAAATGCAGTGCGCTTATCGCTGTGTCCGGTCTGATGGGTCTTAAACGTAGACGCGACGGTGAGAGTGAGAGCTGCGACGGCTGTGGGAGCGATGGCTGTGGCTGTGAGAGCGGTGGCGGCGGTGACGGCCGTGGTGGTAGGACTTGCGCTCGTAGCTGGAGGATAGGCGATCACCGTGCATCCAGGCGAGAACAGCGGTGAAGAAGAAGAGAATGGTGTTGATGATGCCAAAGACCCAAGATGCCTTAAGCATGGCACAGGGCTTGTCGGTGAAGAGGTTGAAGCGGGGACCGGAAATGGTGACGAGGCCGGGGAAGTTTGCAGACCAGCGGCCGTCGCGTGCTAGGTTTGTGCAATCGACGTAGTTGATGCCGCGAAGGTACCAGACGGCAGCAATGAAGGCACCAACGAAACCAAGGTCGATAACTGCGACGAAGAGGGCATTTGTGCTGCTGCGGTGGTAGCTGAAGAGGGTAAAGATGGCCCAGGCGAGGGCGAGGACGGAGACGATGAAGAGGACGAGAATGGAATCGGGAACGATGACGTTGCGCTTTACGAAGCCATCGACGAACCAGGCGAGCATGCCCATGGTCGGGATCTGTGATGCCCATTGCATTAGCCAAAATTGGGTAGTCGAGACGATGTTGTCGGTCTTGCCAACTTGTATCACTGTGTGAGAAAACGTACCAAGGTGACGATTTGAAGGAATCGCGTCGCCGCGAACATGACGGCGAACAACATGGTGGGCGGTTGGGAGTCTGGAAGGCCGGGAAAGAAGTTACTGATTGCTGTGCGGAAAAGATGCGACAAGACGCGACGACGACATGCGCTGGCGCTGGCGGTAGCGGTGGTTGTGTTGTAGTCGTTGTTGCGCTTGCGACAGGCGGCGACGGATTTCAAAGAGATCTTGAGATAAACAGAGACAAAGGCGGCCGATGAACGGGAGCTACCAAGGTAGGTAGATGGATGAGTAGGTAGTGAGAAAGCAGAGAAGCAAACTCTTGCAGAGTCTCTTGATTATTTCTTCTGTCGCTCGTGTTTTGTTCTAGAGCCCATTCAGATGAACGGGCGGGTGGTTGGGATGGGGTGGAAGGGGCAGTTAAATAAACAAGGTGCGACTTGCGTGTGAGAGGTGTGAGCCAGAAACTGAGCCAATGCAGGTCGGGTTTGGGTTTGGGTCAGGAAGTCTTGCAAGTTGGGACAAGCCCATCCGGGGTGGGCAGTAGCAGCAGATGGGACCGGGGGGTGTGAGGAAGTGTGGGAGAGAGAGAGAGAGAGAGAGAGAAAAGGAAAAAAAAAAGCAAGGCAAGCCGCAACGCGCACCGCCAGGTTTATTTTGGTGGTGGTGGATGTGAAGTGGTGTAATTCGTTGGTGTGTGAGTGGTATTAGTGGTGGTTCAGTTCAAATGGGGGAGGTTGGGCTGGATCGCGGGTTGCCAGTCAAGGATCCATGGACCAAGGATGATGAATGGTGAAAGGCAAGATAAGGTAGCATCAGGTCGCTCAAGATGCCGGGTGCCCGTAGCCCGCCATTTTGTCATTCCCGTTGACTTTGAATCTCAATCTCACTCTCCTGTGGATGGATAATCTAAGAGGTACCTCAAGACAGACAGTTGTGAGAGTGAGATGGGATGGGACGGAATAGGCACGAACAGGGATGAAGGCATCGCAATCTCGCAAATTGCAAGATTCACATGGATCTGGGACTAGAACGAAGAGGGTTCCGGCTGCGCAGCTCGGTGCAGCGGTTCGCGGCTCGCCCTCTCTGGTATGAATTGTGTGTATCAGTATGGATGGATGTTTGATGGCACGGCCTTGCTTGACGGCTGTCTCCAGGGACGAGGGACGAGCAAACGGCCGTCAAACAATGACACGGACCGCAGCCAAGGATGTCGCAGAGCGTGAGCCCGAGCACCTTGAATTCTCACTCACTAGGTACTCACTCAGGTACGGAGTTTTCATACCTTGCCCTTCGCCTTACAGATACTCCGTACCTAGTAGAGGAAATTATCCATTCACATTGTACGGAGTATCCGTAGACACAGAGAGAAATGAAAGGGCATGTGAGGTGAGGTACCTTAAGATACCTTAGGTAAGCTGAGTTGAAAAGTGTTTACTGAAGCCTGACAGGTGGAAGGTGGAAGGTGCGTCACCAGCAATGACGTCGGCGATCGGCACCCTCTCTCCCCTATTTTGGCCGAGGCCTGCCGCCAGCCCAGTTCCTTCCCTTGCACTTTCACTTTCCGGGCACCTTCCACCTTCCAAACGTCCACCCATTTGCTTGGGAAGTTGGGATAACTCCTGGAAGCAGGTAGGCAGGCAGGTACCTTCACGACGGTAGGTACGGAGTCACGGGAGTAAGGCACGGATAAGGTAGCTTCCTTTCCTCTTCATTCGTGAGTTTCTCACGGCGTCTGTACATGGTCGTCATCTCACATACGAGGCTGGCTCTTCCTTAATGATGATGCATGCTGCAGAATGAAGGCGAACCACCCGGGCGATGCGCTCATCGACGGCTGATTTCTTGCCCTGTCAATCCTGTCAATTCTGTCAATCACATTGTCTATTCGTACCACCACTCATTCGATTCGGGACAATAAACCCGGTGTCTCATCTCAGTCAAGGACTGAGGTGACACCATTCACCTTGGGCTAGGTAAGGTCCTTTGTACGGATACAAGGCTTTGGTTTCCCGGCCAGCACAAGTCAAGGAAGCGTGTCCAGGTCCAGAGCCTAGAATCCAGACCGGCAGACCCCAACCGTCCAACGACAAACAACTCATCTCAAGTGGGGGTCTACTATGCTTTCAGCCAATCCTGTATCTTCTTATAAACCCCCGGTACTTTTGGACGAGGAACCACTCCAACCTAAAATCGGCGGGGCTGGTCATCTTGGACCATTGTTATCCACCGTCCCCCAAGACCAGTTTCTTTCTTTCTCCGAGTCCGAGTACTGTATCATGCCGTATCACACTCCGCACACATAGTCCAATGGTGGGAAACACTCCATGCACTCCAATTCGTTCCCTTACTCTTGAGAAAGTAATGACCCAGGAAGCATCACGACAGGTCACTTCAAGGCGGTGATCGCGAAAAGGAAGGGAAAGAAACAAGTCAAGAGTGGGCATGATGAGGTGGCTGGGTTTGCGTTGGCCTCGACCCTGTTGCAAACTTCCAGGGGTCCCCATCCTAATCCAGTCCCATCGTGGGCCGTGGCACCGTCTCTCACAGTCTCACTCCCACTCTCAGACTCTCATCCACCCTTGTACGGAGCAGGCTCCTATGGATATGGAGATAGAACAGACAGGCACTTCGAGCTTAGATCCACACCGCATCGCCGGCGACGGCCTCACTCGCACGGCACGACCCACGTGGAGAATCGGAGCGAGAAGCGACCTAGTGAGTGAGTTCGACCCTTTCCGTCTCACCTCATTTACTCACCTTATCCACGCCTAACACTGCAAGGTGACCAAGTTACGGAGTACAGTTGCTAAGCTAAGCTGGATGAACCACGTCACCGCCGCCGTCGATTCTGACAACCAACAAATGTGTCTGAATTGCGCCTTTTTCTGTGCCACAGTCCTCGTGATTCCAATCCCCCCTCTTCTGACCTCAACCCCAAACGTGAGGTAGCCTTGTAGGTACCTTGACTCAGGTAAGGTAACCCATCTGAACGCCATCTTTATGAGCGTCCAAACCAGCTATAGTCTACCCGACTTCACACCTAATAATTTGTTAATGCGCAGGCTGCCATAAGATATCACCGCGCATTGAAGGTAGGCAAGGGACGTAATGAACCAAGTAGCCAGCTATTCGTGTCTCATTCGACCAGAACAATACGAGTAAAATTAGCGGGTATCACTCAATCAACTCAAGGTACTAAGCTATCTCCAACTTTTTTGTCCACCCTCAAGAGAAGAGAAAACCCAAGACATAGCTGTCCACCTGATATCTCTCGCTTGCTACGTTCATGACCTCGTCCTCGTCTGGTTCTCTTCATCGCTTTCACCCCCAGGCCGTGACCGCGACCTGGCCCCAGAGGTATATATACAAAATCTACTCGTCTCATCGTGCCACCTCCATCCCCAAGATGGATGGATTGGTTAGTCTGGCCTAGTCCACCTTACGGCTCGTGGTCATCAATTACATCCAAATCAAAATCCCGAATTCGTGGCGCCATGCTGTCTGTCTCGGACCCCTCGCGCTTCACTCGTCCATGGTTATACCCGCCCCGCGCGCTTTTCCTATCTAACGTGTCGTCCAGTGCAAGGAAGCCTCCCGACCCCGTAATGTTGCTCGGCAAGGGAAGCGACTGCTGCTCGTGCTGTGAGGTGCTGCTGGAACGCGCATAATTGCTATGAGAGCTGTTGGCATCCAAGAAGGCGGTAAAATCACGCCTTCGAATGGGCAGTTCCATTGCCTCTCCTCGATCCACGCTGCCGGCGCCGGTGCCGCCAAACGTGGTGGCACTGCGCATGCTGCCCGGTCCGCCGCCCAGTCCCTTGACGTTATCTCGCGATTGCGCTCTCTTCATGTTTGTACCGGGCCGACTGGATGCAGGTGTACGAATGCTGCTAGCCGTATCGCTTTCGCTCATGACGCTGTACGCCGAGCTGAAATGAGGTGCTGAACCCGTCGAGTGGATGGAGCGGGTCCCGGTCGTCTGGTACCCGGACCCCCGCGATGTTGTCGAAGCCGGGGCGCGCGGGTACGCAAACGGGCGGGCGAGGTTAAGCACGGGGCTGGTGTTGCCGGACCCGCCCGAACTCTCGGCGCCGCTGTTGTTCGGCGTATTCCAGCTATGCTGTACCATCCAGCAGTGAGATAGTTCGTGCGATGCCTCGTCTGTCGTGCCAGATCCCTTCCAAGGAGGAACTCTTGTACCCCTGAGGCGGGGAGAGAGATGGTACGGCACTCCGTCGCGATATCGCACGTTGGGGGCGTCTACTGACACACTCGCCAGCGTCTGGAGAATGCCGTAGATAAAAACCCAGCGGCCACGTCGGGCCACGGCCGGATCGACCTCAGTGACGCTGTCGCCCTTTTCGAATTTAACAAAGGCGTCAATGAGGTCCGATTGGGTGAAGTCAGAGCCGAGTATGTAAATGTTGGTGGCCTCAGTGTACGCCAACTGAACTCGTCGTTCCAGAGCACCCGCTCGGCCACCGTTGTTGGCACCTGCGCCTGTCTTCTTCTTGAACATGGAGCTCTCCTTTGACGGCGCGGGCGGGATGGATTCGGGTACCATGGGGTATGGATGCGGGATGTGTGGAAACCGCAACTTATTATCGAACTCGACGAGGATGTCTGTGATGGGAATGTCGATGTCGGCGTCGAATCCCTTGTCCTTTTCACTCTGCATCATCCATTTGCGCCCTGATCGCGCCTCGGACATGTCCCACACAATATCGCGGTTGACGAGGTAGTCGTAGAGCGCCCCAAAGTCCTTTTGCAGTGATTGTGCCACACTCCTCGTTAGCCACATGTCCTCGCCGTCGGAGTCTGGAAGGCCGGCTGTCTGCGCCGGTGGCCACGCTCCTTGCGAGTCAAGGTAGTGGTTCAAGAAGAACTTTTGTAAACGGTCCGCAGCCGCCTTTGCCTGACCACCGACGCCTGCCGGCCACATGTCGCCGTACTGGAATTCTGCGAGTCGTTCTTCAGCCGCCTGTACGCGAAGCTGCGTCTCGAGACATGCTCGCTCCAGTAGCGCGCGGGTGATGGGCGTGAGGTCTTTGAAGTCGGCGCACGTCTCCAGTTGACTGTACATGCCAGCGCAATGCAGGAAACTCTCCCGCCAGCCCTCCTCCCAGCGTACAGCTGACCCTTCGGACCACGCCAGCAAGCTGACAGCCGTTTCCGGGTCGTTGCGAACATCATCGATTCCCCGGGCTGATAGATAATTCAGAATCATACCGACATTATCCGCGTCCGGTGGCATGTAGGCATCTAATCGCATGTGGAGGTCGGAGAGAGCCTGGTGGAGCGTCAATCCGACCAGAGATGCGTGGTAGAGCAAGGCAAAAACATTTCTTGTCGTAATATGGCTCCTGAGCTGTTCCGTCTTGGTCATGTTTGCCGGGGTCGGAAAGTACATTTCGTACGAAATTTGCCCATCAGCTTCGCCGAGATCTTCCGAGATTGGGGGTGTCGGTTGCCCACCGCGCATGTGCGGCCGAAGCATAGGTGGTGCACCCTGTGGAGATGGGGGCATGTAGATGTCCTCCTCGGTTGTGCCCTCACGAAGTAACGTGATGAGATACCTCGATTCGGTCGCTTCGATGATGTGTGAAGATAGCCTGAAGGATGGGTTAGGCCTCGGGGCTTGGCCCTTGTGCCCGAAGAAGACGAGAACATCGCCATTCGGATCCCACAACTCGGGGTCTTTGCGCAGCTTATTCCACCTCTGGACAGGTCTTCCGGCACCGATCCATCGCTTGATGGGCGGCGTGGTCGGCACGGGAGGCAACTTCGATGCTGGAGGTGGAGATGTGGGCAAATCCAAATCCTGATGTCGCATTTGTTGATGCATGTGCTGCAAGTGGTGTTGCTGTTGGAGTTGTTGGTGTTGTTGCTGCTGCTGTTGTTGGTGTTGTTGCTGTTGTTGCATATGCATCTGCCGCTGCATTTGCATTTGCTGCATCGTATCCATGTTGAACTGTTCATAAGTGTAGTCGAGCTCGGTAGGCGACATTGGGGGTGCATTCTGATGGTGACCCGGCCGTACGGTGGCGACAGATTCGGGACGGAAGTCGGGCTCTTTGTCTTTGCGCTTAAAGGTGAAAGTCTTGGCTAGGCCTCTCCGTACATCCTCGCTTCTCTTGTCCAGCCTGCTTCGCAAGCCCGACTTCTCGATGCCCGAGACGTCTTCCGTTTTGATGGTGGGTCTCCGAGCGCGGGCATAGGCGAAGTCGTCAAGGGGGCCGGAGCTCCCGTCACGACGGCCACCCTCACTGCTTCCACTGCCACTGCCTATGCTGGGTGTGCCGGGCTTGATGTCGCGGGGAGGCTCCGAGAACTTGAGGAAGCGGGCATTGGTGGTGCCGATGCCGGTGCCAACGGGCAAGGAAGCGCCGGTCTGGGGAAGAGGAAACTCGGGAATGGTGAGATCCTCATATTCTCCTATTACGCCGCCGGTATTTAATCTTGCCCTCGCCTTGTCCTTCTCAGCCTGAGTGATCTTCTTGCGCACATAGGCGCTTCGACCTGACATGTCGGGGGGTGCCTTTGCCGGGCAAGAGGCCAAGCTCACGAAGAGCTGCTCACGGGCTGTGGATGACCCAGTCCCGGTTCGAACGAGCTACAGGCGTCCCGGGAGATGTTTGGAGGTGCAAGTATGCCGTTGCGACTGCTGCTGTCGCGAATGTCGGTGTCGAAGATGCGAGAAGCGCTACACAAAATGTATTCGTAGAAGAAGAACAAGAAGAAGAGGTAATGGAAGTGAGAGAGAGACGGAGACTGAGACAGAGGCAGACAGACAGAGAGTGACTGAATGGCAGCCCCCAGAGTCGAGATAAGATAAGACGACTCAAAAGTCCCCTAAACCTAAGAACCTGGCAGGTGCCTGCCTTACCGTAGGGTGCAGATTGCAGGCTGAGGTGCAGAGGTACAAGAGGTACAGAGTACGTGAAGGGGTACAGGGTACCTCAGGTACAGAATGCCCTAATTGGGTTAGGTTCTTTGGGCAGATAAGGTGCCCTGGGGGCCCTGGAGTGGGAGGAAATGGAAGGTGAGGTGGATTGGTGAGCTCGGTACGTATTCGAAATGAGCAATGAGGGAGCTCGCTCCGATAAGGTGCCTGAGATACTCCGTACCCCGTAATGTACTCCGTACTCCAGGTAAGGTGAGGTAGGCGTGCACGGCGTGGTAAGGTTGGTAAGGATGAGTGAAATGCACACACACACACTGCAGTGCTCCTTGAGATGAGCCCGGTGAGGTGAGAGGTGAGAGGTGAGATGGAAGTGGATGAGGTGAGAGCTTGTGAGGTGCAGCGGGGGAGCCCAGCCGATTTGGAGTAAAAGGTTCAGGGAGCCAATGGCGCTGCCCCTGTGGCGTGTCGTTCCCCAAATGACGGTCCGTTTTAGGGTGGCTTGGGCGCGTGTGGTGCGTCTGTTGCGCCCGCTGAGATGGGCGGATGCGGCCGAGTTTTTCCTCTTTGGTTTTCGTCGTCGGCTTCTTCCTTTTTTCTTCTTCGTCTATTTCGTCTCTTTGCAACCGTCGATTCCTCTCTTTCTCCAACAGACTGTTAACCGAGGAATGGGTCGTCGTCTTTCCTCTGTCGATGTTCTCCACTTCAGATGAACGAATGAATGGGGGCCGCGGATAACTAAGGGCACTCACTCATCAGCTCATTGTCATACACCTTGGTACATACATAACAGGGTTCAGAAGGCAGGGTGGGCGAAGGGTGTCCACGTACGTGTAAGAATATCCAAGAGAGTTCGTCGATCCTTCAGGACACTCACACAATGCGGGTTGGTGAGATGAGAATCGCGAGATGAGAGCGGCGTAGATGGAAAGGAGGTTGTGATGTCAAGATCACAGATGAGACATTGATGTCTTTCTCTCTCCCTATCTGTGTGTGTTTGTGTTGTGTGTGTGTGTGTCTGTCTCTCTCTTTATCTCTCAGAGTAGTAGCAGCAGCAACAGCATCCGTTCAATCCTTCTTCAACGGCCAAACTATGCCAAGACACAGTGGCGCGTACTCGATTTATAAGTAATAGTCCACCCAGAGAGAAAGGTACGAGAGTCAAGAGATTATCGTCGTTTTCGGATGGAATTCGCGCCACCGCTCAGGTTTCGAATTCTGCTCGAAGGATTCCTTCACGTCCGTAGTGTCGTAGCGATTGCGTGGTGAGCGCCCGTTTGTACGCAGCTAGCTGTCGTTCGGCCGGCCCGGTAAGGTGTTGGAATCACTCGGTTCTCGGACAGCTTTTCGAGTCCGCGCGTGGCTGATGCGGTCGTGAGGTAAGATCGATATCCTGCAAAGGGGGAAACACAATAACAAACCAAGAACAAAGCAGCAGAAGCAAAGCAAGACACCGGGTCACACGCGGACCAAGGTAAGCTGACACTGATACTGAGACGGGGACGGAAACGGGTACACAGAAGGACTCGCAGACGCTCTCGCAGTCTGCCAAACGAGGATGGAGGGGGCATCTCCCCCAAATATTCGAAATCATATCTGCTCCAGACTCCGCGTCCGTCGCCTTCGCGGCTTGTCTCCTCTGCAGACTGCAGCTGGACCAACCTGAGAAACGCCCGTTGACATGTACGGTGTACCTTGCCCTGCTCAGCCTTCCATGGCCAACAATAACATGGCCTTGCTTGCCTTGGCTAGGGGCCGGCCATACGGATACAGCCCTTACTGAACCGAGCATCCTACGCCGTCCTTGTCCTCCGTCCGGTCCGTTGGCCGTCTGCAGTGCTGCACACTCGAGAGCTGGAGCCAATTTGGCCTAATTTCCTTGGGCATCTGGATGCTGCCATGCACGGGGAGGCCGCAGTACGCAGAATTCCATGCACACCTATTCATGACGTGTAGGGCATCTGCTGCTCAACACTGGCTTGGCTCGTCTGTCGATGCCTTCCTCCTCAGCACCATAGTCACAATTCTGCCAATCTACGAACACGGACGACTGTAAGGCAATAGTCCGAATGGTCAATGGGTTTCCTTGGTGCCCCCCACCTTACCAAGGCTTCTTTCTCCCCATGTCTCCCCATGTCACGTCCCCGGGTAAGGGAGACGTGGTCCGTACAGAGGTACGAAGGTAAATTCGTGGGGGACGCCCCCGGCCGGGACAAAGCACCAACGCCAACGGCGGGGCCCAGGATGCTTTGCAAACTTCTTGACTGATACTCTGTAAGGATAGGGAAGGACACATTCAATCAGTCTAGGGATCGTACGGTACTTCGTTCAATTGTATACAACCAATATCCTTGCATTACGGATACCTCACTACAGTACACGAGCAACCCCAATGATGCTTTCGGCTTCAGCAGGATTTCCGTACCGAGGCGACACTGACAGTCGGTCTGGTTCGATATTGATAGGAATAATTGGCGATTCTGGCCAGCAAGGGGTCCTGGCAAGGCCTAGGAACAAGGATGGTCGCGGCCAAGAGCCCGGCGCTGCAGTAAGACCGCGCAGCATGCAGAGACGCTCGGCGACCAAAAGGATCCAGGCCCTGGTCGCCCAGTCCGATTGATTGTGCATCGCTGATTGATTTGGTTGACAGGCTGATATGACATTTTAAATTGGTGAGGAGAAACTCTGAAATTTCGTCCAGAGACGCGGCGTGTTGTGTCTATCCGTAGGTACCTACGCTACGTGCTGCATAGAACATTACTTAGATACTCCATGGATGTCATGGTCTGGGTCATTTGGCATGGCATAGCATAGCATGGATCGTCGCGTCCCGTTTTTGACTACCTATGCCATGCAGGTGCCAACTATCGAGTATTAGAAATTACATGACAATATCATGAACTCTGCTGACTGGAGTCTCGGTGTACTCTGAGTCTCGGGAAAGTAGTTAACAGGGTATCCATACATCCAACGCGGGGATGAATACGATGGATGCTGATAAAGTATCCGTATCTGCATCCAAATTCAGTATTGTTCGTCGGAAAGCAAGAGGTGATCTCCCAATTTGCCCATCCTGGGCTCTGGGGAAGAGGCTGAACAAAGTGCGGATAGAGGCAATTGCTCGTTGACTCCTCTTTTTGCTCAGAGATTGGCCCCCAACTGCGATGCATCCGTCCATCTGAGGTTCCCATCGGATGGGCCATCCACCTTCATGCCTACCCAACCCCAAGTTGCGACTGCAATGTTTCAACAAAGGCACTTCCAACTTGCTCGAGAGCAGACATCCAGGAGTTCCCACAGAAGTTTGAACCCAAGTCTTTGGGTCGTATTCTCAGGTGCCAGGGACTGTGTCGCCGAGGATGCAACATGGCGAAGCCGGTCACATCCTTGTCATCGACCCGCGGCGAGCCATGTTGTCCACTTCGTCGTAGTCACAATGTACGGAGGAGCACTGCTCAGGAGCCAGGACACGGAGACCCAACAAAAACCGTTGTCCATCCCGATGGTCGACCAACCGAAGAACAATCACGGCGCCCATGCAGACAAACACTGACACACAAGGGCTGGTGAGAATTGAAATGAGCGTCACAATCTCGATGCCCTACCTACGGTCCAACGTAAGACGATAAGGTACCGGAGGCAAGATACTTTCTAATTTGTACTACCCATACGCTCCATGTTCCATTACCGTGCACCTAATTCCTTGCCCCCTTTTCCACGTCTTGCGGGAAAATAAGTACGCAGTAATACAATTAGAACAAAAAGTCAAAGGCGCCAGCGCTGCAGACTCAGAGAAGGTATCTATAATGGCAGCAACCGTTGCAAGCCCAATGCCCATGGCCCCTTTTCAGCGATTGCAAAGGAGACGCCCCTTGCAGTCGCACTAACGCAGGCAAATTTAGCTGTCATGCGACTCATCTTTGAGTGGCCACGACCGTGGCGACTCACTTTTTCAATGAATTAACTTGACAAGTTGATGCTCTTTGCGCATTCTCTCAAGGTGTAGTCTCCAGAGAATGGTAAGTCAAGGTAAACGGCCAGTGGCATTCTCCGTGTCGAAACTTCCACTGCATCGCTTCGTTGTCCGCATCTAGCAGCTGCCCATCGCGGTTCGCTTCGGTTGGGTTGGTTGGGTTGGCTCCCATAGCTTCATGGGGGTTTCCACAATCTTCGCCCACAATTACCTGTTGAAAGTATCTGCACGCTATACTCCGTAATGCAACATAAGATAACCTACCACAGCGGCTTGCCATGCCAATGGAGAATGCGCAGATGCACGCGTCCATCCAGGGGAGACTGGCGCAGCACATAGTCTACCGGTGGTGTTCGTTGCTCACATCCTGTCGATATAGCCCACGGATCAAGGATCGCATCTTGTCAGCTCTGTGTAATACTTGACTAGGCCTAAGAGATGGCCAAAGGCGAGCATGTCAGCTATTACCAAAGTGCACAGGGAGGGCGGAGGGTTCATGAGAGGACAGAGATGGATGGCACCTCTGCATAGCTCATATCCGCACTTCAAAGTACAGGTCCCATCGCAATGGAATCCAGCGGAAAGCTGGCAAAAGACTACCTCCGTGACGCCGTGAATGGCTGGATGCAAAGACCCGGGTCGACGGCCCCAAATTGGCATCGTCGAGATCTCACGTCTCCGTGTTGGCTGAAGGACACCATCTCAAGACCCAACCATGGTTCGCGAGCTGCACTCCAGCTCTCGGCCGGAACCCTGTCGTCGCTGGGTCTCGGGACCCTGAAGCCCTGATCGTTCATCGTGGAAGGCTAGCATAGCTAGCAACCCCACAGCCAACCCAACTTCGTTGACCAAGGGGTCCCTGGACACTCTCTGAATGTCTACCCCGCCGTGCTTTCGTCCGAGGAATCATGAGATGAGTAACGATTTTTCCAAGTGTCCCGTATGTCATGGTCGGCACGAGTACGGATACCACATGCAAGCCCAGATAACGCCATCGCGCGAACGAGACGGGCGTAATCCGTCAAGACTTTCACCCTAACGTACGGTCTACGGTTCCTGGGCTAGATGGCGCCAAGAACGAGTCTAAGCATGAAGTAGTTTCAAAGGATTGCCGAAAGTTGAAACCCCAAGGATCATGGACGGGTCGACCCATATGAACGGTGCAGGAGCCTTTGGGACAAGATAGACTCTGAAGGTTGAAGGAGTGCATGTCGGTGGCAACCCACCAGCCCATGTGCTCGTGTGGTACGGATATGGTGCTATACGGATGCAGAGACCCAATTGAAGTTGATATAGTTGGTGAGAGAGGTAGCTGGTCACGTAGTGAGATGGACATGGGACAGGCGAGACTCTCTCATGATGGGACCCTCTGAAGACCCAGTGAACTGTTAGCCCAGAGAAATTGAGAGAGGCAGGTTTAGAGATAAGGCGCACACAATTGCAGATGCCAGTGTGGATGGCTTTTGGTAACGTAACAGATCCAGAGCGTCGGGATCCTCAAACCTTCCCTCCGGGCCCTTGGATTCTTGGACCCTTGACTACTCCGTACGTCCGTTCCTCTTGTTGTCCATGCCGATCATTCATGGCCACATGGCATACATCGACCGTCAGCCGATGGACAGCCTTGCCACTTCCGTGCATCCTGAGCTCGAACCAGTGGGCCCGGTGTATGGATCCAGCTCGCCGGTGACTTGTGCGTCGTGACACTGCCCACTTCGGCGGATGTGTGTACGGAGTAGATTGTAGAGTTCAGAGAGCAGTGCGACGACTCACGAGTGCCTGTCAGACACGTCTCTGAATATGAGCTCGGTGACTGGTGGCACCTCTGGATGTCACTTTGGAAAGCTACACGCGCAGTCAAGCTAGGACGGACAGAACTGAGTACCACGCGATTTCAACCGCTGGGCGGGTCTCATACCGTTTCCTCCACTGGGCTGCGCTCCGCATCCCATTCCTGCGACACCGTCTTTTCCTTGCAGCTGCAAGCCATTGTGCGGGCGTTCGAATCCTACTGTGACCAGGGACTCGTTCGACCAACGAGGCATCGGTGCCCCGGCATGGCCGGAAGAGGAAGCTCGTTGGCTTCGGTTTTTTTTTCTTCAGCTGCCAAAGCCTCGCTCTCAAGCTTTGAACCATCCAGCTTCCACAGATCCAGTCCCTGAACTCGAGAGTGAGCTCTCGAGTGGAGGCTTCGGTCTCTTGCCAGACATTTGTTCCTAAAAGATATGTCCGCGGAAAGACCAGGTGGCTCAGAAGATGGATGACCTTTCAGAGATCGGAGATGTGAATGTATAGGTAATGCAATAGCAGCCACCATGCAAAGATGATCCTTTTTGTATGTGTGGGCTTGGGCCAACATGAAGGGGCTGACATGGACAATCCATGTGGCTAGAAATCGGCCCCTTTTCCGTCGAGCCCCGTCTCACGCCGCATTCTCCGGGCGATTCGAGAAAAGCTGATGATATCCGGAATGGACAGCCACGGGCTGCCCGCCGATTGAGTGGGCTATCCACCGTGGTCCGCTTGAGACTTCCGGTCATAGCAAAAGTCCGACTGTCCCCTCCGCATCCCGATCGTCCCCTCCTATAACCGGACATCCCGGCGAATGCTCAGAGCTGGAGGGAGGGCAAGGAGGGGTAGCGAGAGAGCCTGTGCACGGCGCTCAAGATGGCTTCAGCTTGTTGCTGCTTCAAGCGCAATTGCAGACTATTATTACGAATACGGATGAGAAAGCGAATATCCGTACACTATTGGCAACGGGTGGAGTTGTCATCTTGTCTGCTCGGAATATTCCCTCCTTCGAAATTCCACACGATGTCCATGTTATTCCCATTTGGCGCCCACAGTTCCGCCCATCCACGGGCCACGAATCACAAGTCACAACCCCAAAGCTATTTCCCAATCCCTCGAGTCCGAACTGGATGCCAAAATACCTAGCACGATGATGGAGCGTCGACATGATCCATTGAGGGTGACGATCGCCGCCGCAAGTCGTCCTCACGGTCAGGTAGGCACTGTGGCCCTCATCTCCTTCAAGCCAAGCTCAGCTGTCTTCTTTGTGGCCGCTGGACTGTGTCCTGAAATGAGGGCACCGTACGGAGATGGGCTCTCTGCTGTTGATGGAAACCGAAGAAGAAGACGACGAATACTCCAACCCACGCACGCTACCACCATCGAAAACAACGCTTCCAGGCTTCGGAACGTTTCTTCTGTCTGAGCCAGGGATCCGAGCCTCCGACAAAGGCCACGCCGACGGGGATTTTTCCTACTCCCTGCCATGGCCCGTGTGAACTGGGGTTCTGCCCATCACGTTACCAAACTCCACTGAATAGCGTGTATCTTTATACCGAGCACAGCAAGCTTGTTGTTTCCCTCGCCCATACGGACACCGCTGATCGCGTTGATCACGTTGATCCGGACGACCAACCGAGCCATGGAGCAGCCTACGGATACCTGCTGAGTGCGGACACATGCTATGATGCTACGGAGTACAACCAATATGGATACATAGTCGCAAACGGATGCCTAACCCCAGGATCATATTCAATCTTAATCCTGACAAACAGCCACATACGACCAGACTTGGGATGAAGGGAAATGCGAAATATAAAGAAAACAGTACAAGGGATGTAGGCGACCTGAGCCTGGAGACTTGGCCACAATCCAGCCCCCTTTTCTCTGGACCGCTCGCTTCGGACCCCTTCAGGCTCCAGATGTGATGCCACCATGGCGGGCTGACCTAGTTGCTTGACAATGGCGAATTCCGTCTCATCCCTGCAAGAAGCCAGGGACATAAGGTCTTGGCCAGAGGGCTTCGGACAACAAACCCCCTCAGGGGCAATGAGGCTTCTTGGAAGAGTTTCAGTACACAAGAATTCAACCCGTCTAATTTCCATTGTCTGCATCATGGTCTCTCCTCCGATGCGGAGTACTTCCGTTGGATTCGAGAGCTTCCAGCAGCAGTCATGTCTCTGTCTATAGATACACTCGCTGGATATACGGAGACACTGCAGTGCTGGACTCTTCCAAGACTTCCATACACAGAGTCTACATGGACGCAATAGAAGAACACTCCGCGCGAATTCCATCCTGACCGGTACTTGAATCGCGGGGTACGTCTGCCCTTTCTGGCGCTCTTTCTCATTCAGAGAGTTGCAAGCTTCATACCGCCAGCACTCAGCAGCCCCAACTTCCCACCATGACTCTGAATGTCCTTGTCGAGCAGTCTCATCGTCTCATGCGCACCATTCGGACGGCTAGCTTTCGGCCTACCTTCCCTGCAGGCTACAGCGCCGTACCTCATCCGGCCGGACCGTCCTGTCCACCTCTTCTCATTCTTCAAGGTTTCTGTTAATCTGAACTCTACTACTACCCACAGACGGCGGCACGCACGGCAGTTTCTTGCTCGCTTAGAGCCGCCTTAGCCCAGACATCCTTTCATTTTCCCGCCCCTCATTGCTTATTTGTCCAGGTTCCGTCAGATACGGACACCTTCGTATGTTTGTAGGCAGCTTGTTGGTGACTTTGGTCAGCGGCCAGCCCGCTCAAGGCGTCGTTCGGGCATGCAAGATCGGTCCGCCGGACCACCTTGAACCAGCCCTTCATCTCGTTGGCCTAGTCCACCCTGGGCTCTGCTCCATGTATATTGCCCGTCTTCGTCCTCTCATCACCTCCAAGGGCATGTCCCAGTCATCAAGCTTGAATTCCGCCAATCAAGGTCAAGGGCACCTTATTGCTCAGGGCAGTCGAGCTCCTCCGAACTGGTACAGTTATTCACTATTGTGTAGTGTTCTCCGTGATGAAGTTCGGATGGCGAGTTCTCGGTTCCTTGCAGAGGTGGCACTCGGCTCTCGGTTCACATCCGACTTTAAAGTTTCTTTTATATCCTTCGAGCACCTCTCTCTTTCGAAATCCCGAGCCTCTCTCGCTACCAGTCACTCTCTACCTGCACTGCATAGCATTAACTGTTTCTCTGCTTCTGTCGATCGGTTTTCTATTCATCATGCGCTTCGGTTCCATCCTTCCACTCGCAGCTGCGCTGCTGAGCGCCACTGTTCAGGCCTACGGTAATCCAGGAGCTTGCTCTGGTCAGTGCTGGAGCCATGACCCTTCGGTTGTCCGTCGCGATGATGGCACCTATTTTCGTTTCGAAACTGGCAGCAAGATCGGCATTTGGAAGGCTCCCGATTTGGTAGGCCCCTGGACCTACCAAGGAGCTGCTCTGCCCTCGGGCAGCAAGATCAACCTCAAGGGCAATGATGATCTCTGGGTATGTCCCGTTCCAGCCTCCCTGGTCCTTTTTCTGGTTTCTTTACTTTTCTCGACCTGCCAGGTGAAGGGTCCAAACGAGCGAGGTCGAAACGTGATTGGACGAAACACCCGCCTCTCAAAGCACACACTAATGGTCTTGTCTTCCATAGGCCCCCGATGTGAATAAAGTTGGCGATCAGTACATTCTTTACTACACCGTCTCCTCTTTTGGCGTTCAGAACTCAGCCATCGGTTACGCTACCTCCACCACCATGGAGTTCGGCTCCTGGACTGATCATGGCGCCACCGGTGTTGCTTCTTCAGCCGGCAGCCGTTACAATGCCATCGATGCTCAGCTTGTCAAGTCTGGTAGCAACTACTTCCTGAATTTCGGCTCCTTTTGGCAGGACATTTTCCAAGTGCCTCTGAACGCAGCTGCAACTAAAGCCAACGGCAACCCGTACAACATCGTTTTGAACACCACTGCTCCTCAACCCGTCGAGGGTGCCTTTGTCTACGAGCGCAGCGGCACCTTCTGGGCCTTCTTCAGCTCAGGCTCCTGCTGCGGTCTCGACGCTAACCGCCCGACCCCTGGAAACGAGTACAAGATTTTCGTCTGCCGTGCCTCTTCTGTCAATGGCCCCTACACCGACAAAAGCGGCAAGAGCTGCCTGACGGGCGGCGGCACTCTTCTTCTTCCTTCCCACAACAAAATCTATGCTCCTGGCGGTCAGGGTGTCTTGGTTGACCCCAAGCGTGGTGCGGTCCTCTACTACCACTACAGTGAGTTATCAAATCTGGCTTCAACGAGTTATCAACTCTAATTATTTCAGTGAATACCGACGTCGGCTACGCCGATTCCCAGACTCTGTTCGGCTGGAACGTCATCTCCTGGTCCGGCGGCTGGCCCTCTATCTAAAATTCCTGAGTACGGAAGGAAATGAAAGGCACGGGCGGATAACTGTTATTACATTCTTGTGGATATTATAGCTCGATATATGCTAAGGGGCATGTACATATTTTGCGCTCCAGAATATCAGTATCATATTAATGAGAGAATGCGGCGCTGGTCTCATATCAAACCCATGTTTGTTTCTCTCTGCTTCTTTTCCAATTGTAACACTTGCAAGTTGCCGACACAGACTCTGGCTGACCCAGAGTCGAGATGAGGGGCTGTTTCTTTCGTGTCACGGAGGATTGCCTTGGCTCTTCTTTCTCGGAAGGTGGCTAAGGCCATACATGGCGTTACCGGCTATCGGTTTCATTCGAGATCCCAAATTTTCAAATCGACTTCCAGCAATCCGCCAGCGATCGCCGCTTCGTTCCTTTCTTTTCTGCCTAATTGGATAACCTAGGAATATACAGTATTACTGCCTGATACCTCGTTCCTTCCACTTTCTATAAAGCCTCCGGACATCCTTTGCTTCCATGTCCCTGTTCAAACACGTTGGGTTACCGGAGTTGAGACTAGACGTATATGGTCCATAACTTGGAAGATTTGACGCTGAAATACCCAAGCCCCAGGTGATCTCGACCCTTAGTTTGTGTCTTTATGAGAGTTTGGTTAGTACAAGTATCTGATGCAGAGTTTATCTTCGATCAACCTGTAAACATCGTATTTCATACTAAGGTGAACAACTAAGCAGTGACTAATTACTGTCTCCATATTCCTATTCTCCCATGACATGCTATCATACACCGGGCATGCATTCAATCGGTGGAGCTTATTATGTGTGCCGCCAACATCCTTCAAATCAGAGTACCTCGAATTCAAAATTGAGTAAGCTCAACTGATCAACAACTCAAGCGGAATGACGAGTTATGCTGCGGCAGGCTTCTTGTCTTCGGCAGGCTTCTTCTTGTCCTCATCTCGATCTCCATCAGGGCCACGAGGAGGAGGGCCGGGGGGGAACGCGCCAGGAAAGCCAGGGGGGTAAGCACCGGGGAAACCAGGACGGGGCTGAACCGGCGCGGGGAACGGAGCGGGGAAGCCCGGAGGACCGGCCGGAGGAGGAGGAGGACGTCTCTCACCATCACCGCCACGACCACCGCGATCGCCATCCCGGAAGCACTCACGGTCGCCATCGCGGTCACCATCTCTTCCACCCCTATCGCCGCCGTTTCGATCCCCGTCACGCCCCCCACCGTTGCGGTCGCCATCGCGGTCACCATTACGGTCCTCGCGAGCAACTTTGCGATCGCCATCACGATCACCATCGCGCCCTCCTCCACGTCCTCCTCGGACGCAGCATGATCTTCCGTCTCTGTCACGTCCACGATCTTCTTCACGACAGTCTCGATCGCCGTCACGATCTCCATCTCGTCCGCCACGGTCGCCACCATTACGATCTCCGTCACGATCACCGCCGTTACGATCTCCGTCGCCATCGCCCTTCTTCTTGTCTTCTCCCTTCTTGTTACCATCTGCCTGCGGGACAGGGGCTGGAGCTGGAGGAGCGGCAGCCGGAACGGCCGGCGGGGCCTGTCGAGCCACGAGAGCTGGCTGGCTCAGAGCGCTGCGTCATATTATTAGCCTGGCATTCTTAGTTGACAGGTCCGTTGATGCTGCTTGCCTTTGCTCGCGGGAGTCCATTCCAGATGGGGCGCCATTCGCACCCATAGTCGCCGCGACCATGATAATGAGCGACTGGGAGAAACGCATTGTGTAGCTGGTAATCTCGGCAGACCAAAGTTTCTAAGTGTTTTTCTTTTGTACTGATATAAGTTGAAAGGGGCAGTTTTGAAAGTAGGTGGTATTATTAGATCAAGGGAATATCGAAGATGAGTGAGGAGTGATAATGATGAATAGAAAGAGACCTCCATAGACAAAGATCGAGGAGAGTGTCCTTTAAGTAGTCATTTCTACCTACACTCGAGAGCTATGATATGGACGTTGATCGGTTTTTTCCTACTTTGCCTGCTATTCTTGGCCTTCCCCAAGATATCGCATCATCCAGGCGCCCCGTCTCCAACAGTTCGTTCCTCGAAGATGGCTAGCATGACCAGTTCATGTTGCTCGAAGTCTATTATGCTATCGGCATCTCCAAAAGGCAATTTTTGTAGAGGCTCTGGCCAATGAGGGGAGCGTCAGGATGCACAGTCCGGTGGTGGAGACCGGTCGTTGGCACCGCCGCCCATCTTGATGCGCGTGGCTCGAAAGGGCCTGGACGCAGGTGGCAGAATTCGACGCAACCCTGACTAAATCTTCCTAAGAGGACCATCTGAACTTTTGTTTATCTGCAATGTCTACAGTCGTTGCTCAAAGTAGAACAGCTAACCTGGCAATACCTTGTCTACATCACCAGTCCACTCAATAAGCTATTGCCATGACTGGGATGCTCGCTGCTCCTATAGAAAAATATCGGCCATCAGTTCCATTTTTCTTTCAATTGGTTCCAATGATTTCATGCTTGTCCATGCCAGTCGCAAGTTGCCAGTAGCTAAGAGTGGGAGGCTGGTTCGAGAGACTTGGCGCAAGCTCAAGTGATTCTCGATTACATTACTCGGCCTAAATTATTAGTTACGCTCTGACTGCACTGGTAAGACTTGAGAGTGCAAGTACTCAACGTTGAGTAAGAGTTTCCTTTGAATGAGGCTGAGTTCGCATCATCATCAGCACTCGCTGATTGATGCCACATCCGACCTCTTGGATGGCGTAGGGGTAAACGTCAGCTGTCAATACAAACTTCGCATACTTCCCCACCAGTTTCCTTCAACTGTTGCGATCACCACTATCTTCGTGTGGTGCATGCCACAGCTTGATCAGGTCGCACACCATTTCAAAGACAGGCTCGATGGCTCCTAGATGAAAAAAGAAAACTAAACTTAACTCATAACAGCATTCCGACATGCTGCTTGCTAGACTCCGACAGAACTTCCTGGTCCTAAGACGTCCATAATCGCCCGATGGTAGGCCTGCTACAGAGGTATTGGGTATACTCACATACGCCTCTGCCATAGTTGATCTCGATGTTATGGCCTTCCCACAGGGTTTTCCGTGCATCAATAAGGCTTCCACATCTACAATTTCATGCAGCTCATCCGAAATTGGTTGATTCTTCCCAGCGTCAAGTAATTTCTCTAGCGTCGTAAGCCAATCTCTTCCATCCTCCTCCTTTGTGACGCTGACTGGGCTCTGAAGTCGTGACCTGAAAGATACTTCAGCTTTCTTATTCATCCAAGCTCTGTCCAGAATCCACAATGTGTGTTTCGGTGACATAGCTTCCATGGAGCAAGTCTAGCGTCGATGAGGCGTATCAAACGCAGTAAGCATGAAATCGATATGCAATGCAATCTAGTCTCGATGCAAATGGTGGGCAAACAACAACAATACATAGGTAGTGCGTTCCGGGCGGTATTTCCGGCCTAGTATTACAATCACAATACGCATTACACGGCCAATGCACATTCTTGACTTTCCGCTTATTCTCTAGCCTCAACGGCCATGCGTAAATGGGAACTGCACACTGTTGAGACAGTGTGGGTGGAGAGGGGAGAAGGAAAAACGAAGAAGAAAAAGAAAACAAAAACGGCCGTGTCCGGGCCTCCGGCATCATGCCACGAATACAAGTCACATAGATAGACCCTGACTCGCATTTAATTATGCCTGCTTCCTCGAAGTTACCTTTAAGATACATTGAGGGAGGAAGAAGTCCCTTCTGCCCCCGGCTCCTTGCCGAGACGTAGCTCAAGCCATGACAGCGGCTCCAGATGTTTAAGGATGCAGGAGCCATCATCCGGCCATGCTCGATTACCCTAACCGTCACCGTCGGGGTTTGTTTCTGCACTCGTTTCGTCCGTAATTAAACTTCAGTGCTGAAAAGTCCTATTGGGCTGAAAGCCATGAAGCTCGGCAAACGTTAAAGTTTTCAGCTTAGACGGCCTGGCGGCGTGTCTTTCACCTACCTAGTAAGCTTTGATTCTTCGCCTCACTTTGTTTGGTTCCGGCATAATGCATAAAACCCACTTTCTTTCAATATCCTGTGTTTCTGAGGTGAAGCCCGCTTTGACGGCTTTATTTTGTCACAACTTCAAACTTGCATCCCGCGGCCGTGTGTATGTCCCATATTCAAGCCAACACCGAATAAATGGTCTCAGAGTACACGTACTATTAATTATTTTTATTGCAATGTTCTGGCCAAACACTTTACTACAGCTAACGGCTCTTATCTAGTCGAGTGTGATGGGCTTGCAACGGATTTTACACTTAGCATTGACAGCTTGCTAATATTGAAAAAAGTAGCGCCTTCTTCACACAAGAAATAAGGAAAGAAGTGGAGTAAAAAAATATGTTTGTTATGATACGAAATTATTCTTTTTAGTTTTCTTTAGTCGGCCTTCTCGAATTTTGGCCGGAAAAGAGTTAAGACTACCTCCTAGATATTTATATTAAAATAATAAGGCTGGGCGTCTTAATACGGTAATTTCGTTTATATTTTTACTTGTGTTTTTAGCTATCTCCGGATTCAAGTAAAGTAATAAATATTTAATTTAGGTTTTAATTAAATTTCGATTTCTTCCTTATTAATAACCGAGATATTAGTCTAATATACCCTAAATAGCTATTTTAATGTATTATATTAGGTTATAATAATTTAAGAGCCATTACTTTACTTAAAATAATTAATATAAATCTAGCCTTTCAATTAATTAATTATTAAACTACTTTTTAATAATTTATTAATTTTTTAGTACGGTAGCTATTACGCTTTATATACGGTGAAATAGTAATAATATTAAGATATCCCTTTTAAGATTTCACTATATCTTTATAGTAAAATCTCTAAAAAATACCTTAAGATTTTATAGGGAAATCCTGGGGAATTCTCTATAATATCTAATAGCCTTTTACCGAGAATTCTTAATAAATTCTCGTAGGTTTTACTATAAGGTCTTTTATTATAATAGTAAAGAAATTATAGTAAAATCTCCCTAATATCTATAAGAAATCGTAATAAATACCCCTTACTAAGAAAAACCATTTTATCCGTAAATTTATAAGATAGTAGAAGTATACCGGTTATGCTTTATAAATTATTTACTTATAATATATTAAAATTATAAAGAAGTTATATATATAAATAAAAAATTAAATAAAATAAACAGTTACTTAATTAAATAAAAACCTTAATTTATTAATCTACCGGCCACTTAATATAATTAGAAATAACACTAGCTATACTTTTATAGTTCCTTTATATATCCTTAACCGAGGTATAAATTAAGGGTTATTACTGCCTATCTAGCATCGTTAATTATATTAATATTATTAATATTAAGTAGAGCACTAATATAAACTAGTATAATTTCCTCCTTATTAATATATTTAATAAGGTTATTTAAATTTAAATTAAAAAGCTAGGACTAGCTATAATACTATATATATATATAAACGGTATTAGCGGTAAAATAAAAGTCTTTAGCCGATCTATTCTTAACGGTATTAACGAGGGTAGTTTTATATACTATAATATAACCTTTATAAACTTTAGCGTCCATCTTAATAAAGTAAACAGTATTTATTAAGATCTTTAAATTATAAAGAATCTAGTTTAAAAGAAGTCTACTTATAAGTTCGTTATTAGTTATAAATAAACCGATAATAATATAAAGAATAGTAATTATATAAAGAATATTAATAATTCCCTCTCCTTTATAAACGAATACATAAAGGCTAGGGCTCTAATTAATTATATCGACCGGGCTAACGTTAAAAAGGCTAATAAAAAGCTATTTAAATATATATTTATAAAACGTACGGTCATTTATAAAGTACATAATTTAATCCTAAAACGCTATAATAAAAGTAGGGGTCTTATTAAATTAAGTAATTATAGAAATAGCGTAGGTAACTATAAACGGGTTATATACGGTAAGTTTATCCTTATATAACGTATAGTATACCTTAATTAGGGTTTTAATAGCTTTATCGTTATTAAAAAGCTCGATAATACTATACTTATTAATAATTAAAAAACGGGTCTTATTAACTATATTATTAATTTAATATAGCACAATCTCCGAGCTACTTATAGCGAAGTTAGGAATAAATATATCGAACGCCTCTTTTAAATAGGTATATATATTTAGATATTAAGTATATATAATCGTTATTATTTTATAGAACTCTTTTTTTTTTATATTACTACGGATATAATCCTTAGTTAGGCCTTATATAATCTTAACAAACTCTAAACCTTTATAAACTTTTTTAACTATTTTACGCTCCTTAATAGCGCTTATAATACCGGATATACGGCCTATATATAACGCTAGGATAATTAAATGGTTTATTTTACGTATATTAAAAGTCTAAATAAATTATCCTTAATAATTACGGGGCTAATTACTAAATATAATTATAAATTCGTTATCGGAATATATAAAATCATTAAAGGTTTAAAAATTATACTTAAAAATATTAACTATATTTTCGGTATTTATAGGGATATCTTAATAAAAGTTATTACCTAGGATTAATATGGGGGTTTAAAGTATAGGATATTGAGCCTAACCTTTATTAAATAGTATATTATAGTAAGTAATAAGAGGCTATATATTAAGGTAGAAGATTTTACGGGCTTCCTCCTCATTAGTAATTTATAAAAACGTTACCTAATTTTAAAAAATTATTATCTTAAACGTGTTTTCTTATAGATATAG